GGGGCATGCGGTAAATAATGAAAATGCGTGGCGCGATTCTACTGGCGGCCGAACGTAGAGTTGCGTACGTTCACCAGACCAAATAAAAGTTCCTATTTCCCATCGTTTCTCTCTCCCACGGTCCCACCATCATTCTCTCTCCCCCCTCTCTCTCTCTCTAACTATTTTCTCTTTCTTGGTTTTAGTTGAATACAACAATTAAAATAAGGTATTCATAATGACCTATTTCTTTTAACGCATTCTAAATTTGCTATTTTATTTGGCAATTTTCTCCATTTTATATTTTATATTTTTTGTGGGCTAGAACATACATGGTGATAGAGTTAGAGTCCTACAATATCTTAGTGTTGCATGGATATGCAACTCACACGCAGAGAACACAATATTTTTTACGTGGAAAACCCTCAAAAGGGAAAAAACCACGGGATCTGGCCTAGTTGAAAATGATTCCACTAGAATTTGAGTAGATTACAACGGGTTGACTCGTCCTTGAAAGCGATCATATTACAAATGTCAATAGCAAAATTGAAATATAGTGACAAACATGGATGATAGTCCAGCATCACTTGATGGTTTTGCAGAACTCCGAGCGTTAGGTGGCGGTCCAGCGGAACTCAGGGGTGACATGTGGTGGTCAAACATAACTCAGGGCCTCAAGTGGTGGTTCGGCGGAACTCAGTGCCTCAAGTGGTGGTCCGGTGTAACTCAGGATCTCAAGTGGTGGTCCCACGGAACTCATGACCTCAAGTGGTGATACGGCGAAGCTCAGGGCCTCATGTGGTGATTCGACATAGCTCAGGTCCTCAAGTGGTGGTTCGGCATAGCTCAGAGCCTCATGTGGTGGTCCAGCACAACTCAGGGCCTCAAGTGGTGGTTCGACGAAGCTCAGGGCCTCAAGTGGGGATCCGACAGAATTCAGGGCCTCGAGTGGTGGTCCGGCGGAGCTCAAGTGGTGGTCGAGGAGGCAAGGAGGCAAGGAGGCAAGAGCGATCTCCGATCTCTCTCTTTTCTCCTTAGGCTCAGGGGTCCCCTTTTTAAGATGAAAGTGTATCTATTTATAGATTTCTTGGAGTGGCATGACATGTAAATAGGTGAAAGATCAAGGACAAATGAGGAGTGATTTGGATGGATGATCGATATTGAATCCCTTGATTATAGACCGTTTGATAGACATTTGAATGTCTTAGTGATGTCACAATTTAGTAATCTTAGGCTCGTTGGATTTGTCTTGTTGAGCTGCTCGATTCGACTATAAGCACATCATGTTTGGAAATAATTTGGTAATCTAAATTGTAGTTTAAACCATCCAACAGCGCTTCTAACCCTTGATTTGGACCATTTGGGCTCGTATTGGGTTGAATTTGGTGTCCGGTTAAGATAATTATTTGAGAATACATCAGTTTCCCCTCTGTTTTCGGATGTTGAAGCTCCATGAGTCAAAAAATAAGTGCGATTTGAAATTCAAAAGCACTTTGATCTTGGACGTAGATGTCCCGAATTGCTCTAAAAACATCAAAATTGAATCTAGAACGTAAAAAAAAAAAAAAAAAAAAATTGTGTTGATGACCAAAAATGCTTAATAACGAAAAAAAAAAAAAAAAAAAAAAATTGTGTTGATGACCAAAAATGCTTAATTTAGCTTTTTCAGACCTAAATTTGGGCACAATGATATGACACTGATATGACACTAGATCATGACTAACATGGTGTTGATGTGGTCATAACACACTGGATTATGGCTAAAGCGGCCCGAATGTGATCATAACATGCATGATGGTGGCTAATGTGGCACCTATGAGCCTAAAAGTTGTAATTTAAATTAAAAATATAGACAATTACATCGCTTCATTCTTGACGGGTGAGTGGAGAAGTTTTTGGATTTCTTGCCCAAGGTCTAGGGTTCAAATCACACTAAAGTTGAGGCTTCTTTAAGCAAACAAAAAAATAATAAACATAAAAACTTAAGTATCACCTTTAGGTTCTATATAAAGTCATTTGTCATCTTATGGTGGTACCTCCCCCTTATGCTCTATCAGTGTTGATGGTCCAACTTGATGTGGTTGTGCTAGAGGTTGGTAATAATATGGTTGATGGTAAGGAGAGTGCAAATATGTTAATGAAACTATATGTGAAGGTGGTGGCTGGTAATATGGGTAAAAGGGTGTGGACTTCGTGGGATCTGGTGATGGGAATTAGGGGCTACTATCAGCAGGAGAAAGAAAAGTGAGTGCCCTGCCTTGTAGTTTCTACGAGTGGTGGTATAGCTTGGCCCTGCACTGTCGGTTTTACCCCTGTTGGGCCAATAGTAAACTTCTTCCGGCGACCAAACATAGAAGTAATCGACTTGCAATGAGGTTCTTCGCCTGAAGCCATCTAAGATGAAGATAGAGATTAAATTTTTGATTGCATGAAAGATAAATAAGTTGTAAAAATATAATGGAGTTGCTAAAGTTACAATATGAAAAAAGGTAAATGAAGTAAATGAAATTGTATTTTCATTACCTGAAAAATATAAAATTGCTAAATTTGAAATTGCATCAATGAGCTTACAATAATACAAATAAATAAAATTGCTAATCTTTCAATTAATTATTCTTCACTAGAGGAGGTTTCATTAGTTTTCATTATCTCTTCACATGTTGTCTTATTTTCGCTAGATTCATTGCTAGAACTCTCAACTTCTTCCAACTATGTCTCACTCACCAGGATTGTATCCTCACGTATATCAATTACAGGTTCTCTAAAATCCAACTTTTATTCCTCTTGAAGTACAATTTGTTTTATATAATGTTACTCTAAAGTCTCTCGTGGTTTGGTCTTTATTACTATTAGTCAATCATGTTTATCTCTAAGTATCGTCAGATAAAAGACAAAATAAACTTGACTTGCTTGTGAACTAGGACAAAAGGATCAAACTTAGCATCTCCAATTGCACTTCACTTCTATTATACCATACAACGGATGCACAATTGTGCCTCTAGTTGGAATAGGATCATACCATTCGTAGTCGAAAAAAATTTATGACTCTCATCTTCTCTTATATATTAGAGTTGAATATTCTCTTCCAAAATACCATAATAATCACATTTTCTTTCTTCATGAGTGTTTCCTCTCACACAAACATCATAATTTTTATTTTTTTTCTCTCACTCCATGACTTAACGTGAAATATAAACCGATTAACAAGAAAAATTGATCATGCTTTAACTATTATGATATACAATTGTATTGATGTTTATTGATAATATGTTATTACTTTTTTTAATTAATTGTTAATATTTGTCACTTATATATTCATACTATTAGTGATTGAATATTACATGCATATTATTCATATTGTATTACATTGATTTCAGTTGTATGTTCTGATAATCTACTAAGCTATTAGTTCACTTTGTGATTTTACATGTTTTCAGGAAGGGGTCATGATCTAGTGGAGTGAGGACAGTTATGGGATTCATAATTTCATATTTTATTTTATTTTTGCATTTTCTCTAATTTTATTCACTTGTAATTAGTAGCTTAGAAAGTTGAAATAAATGTAATGATTGATCTTTTTGGCTTTTGCACATGAATTCTGAGATATAAATATAGTTTTATATTTTAATGTATATGATTTTTAATCACTTATATTGAATTGATTTATATTGATGAATTTATAGAATCCTTATTTGGTTAATTAATAGATAAAATGATAAATAGACAATTTTTTTAAAATTAGACCCTGTGATGTTATACTTGTATTATGTAAATATGTATGCATGCAAGCATTCATGCATGTATATATGAATTTATGTGTGTTTGTAAAAAGTATATACAAGTGCACACGTGTGTGTACAGGCTTATTTGTATACTTGTATATCTCATAATCATCCACCACAAAAATGATTGATTTTCTTGTAGTAAATGGATATCGTTAGGGAAAGCATCGACAGGATCGACGACACGTATGTAATGAATATTTCGGTATATTTCCCTAAAAAATAAATAGTAGGCATATTTCTCAAATTTAGACGTCATGGAAAATATAAATTCCACATTCTCTTTGTGGATTTATCCATATTATTTATATTTAATGTGTATTTCTACAATATATTAATTATACAACTATTTTAAAGTACAATATTTTATATATCATTGCCTAAATTATTAATTTTTTACATATATGATTAATGTAATTATGTGTGCGCTTGTAAAATGTATGTAGGTATGTATACATCTATATTATTGATATATGTATTTGTAAAATGTATGTACATATGTATGTTTGTGTGTGCACAATTTGAATGTATATATGTATGAGTATATTGAAACATATGTATGTATGCATGCACGGTTATGGATGCATTTATTTCAGTCATTAGCATATGCTGCATATAAATGCACATATAATAATTATTTGGTGATACACATCATTTAAATAATTGCATCACATGAATATTAGAAGTTAATGATATTGATGTATCATGTATGATAGACTATTATCTAGGTGACAAAGATTAACCTAGTGGATTTTCTTAAAGGAATTGAATTATTTGTGTTAGTAGATAATATATTTCTCATTAAACAAAAAATATATATATATGCTTTAAATAAAAAAAAATCAAATGCACCGTACACTTGCTGATATTATATTTGATTTATAACATAGATGATTCATAGACAGGGGCGAAACCAGCCCTAATTTTCAGGGGGGGCAAACTTATAAGACATATATGTCAGGGATTCAAGGGGGCAGATATATATTCTACTTAGCTATAGAGGAGTTAAAGCTTGAAACCTTTCGGCTGCACAGTTAAAAATCAAGCAGTGATGGCAGCTCCTCTGTCGCCCATCGCACGTTCTTCTCCCCTTCGCACGCCGCTGTCCTCGACCTCACGCTCCCACTTACCATTCATGGCAGTCAGCGGCGCCGCCGCCTCCTCCTCAACCTCCGCTGAGGCTGAACAGGATATCAGCCGTGGCAGAGGCGTTACTAAGGAAGCCCCAATCCCACAGCTCGAGGTCATCGGATCGAAGAGCGCGTTGCTATCTCAGTTCGCCAGCTTGAAGATGTCCTACCGGCCATTCCCGGTCATCGGATGGAACCGCCATGTGGAGACCATCTTCGCCGCCTTCTTCCGGTCTCTTCCCCGTGTTCAGTTTCGCCGGGAGTGCTTGCGGACGAGGGACGACGGAGCCGTCGCCCTTGACTGGGTATCCGGAGATGAACGCCGTCTCTCCCCCGATACACCGGTGCTCGTCCTTCTGGTGCGATTTTTATTTTGTGTCCTATACATTAGTTTTCGTCTGTTGGGATGGCAATCGTAACCAGTTAGATTTTCTTGAACGGGGCTTACTTGGAGCTATTTCTTTCCGATTTAGTGATTTAGGAAGTGTTTGGATGCTGGGAATTTGAGAGAAAAGAAATGTAGGAAAAAGAAAGAAAGAAAGAAAGAGAACTCAAATCAATAGCCGCATATTTATAATTAACGAACAAATTGCTGGGATTTCATTTCCTTTCCTTAATTTTTTTTTCCAATCTTAAGAAAAACTCGAGAAGGCTGAGAAATTCTGAGTATTGGTGCCTTTTGTTATGGAGGAGGCGATAAGTCGAGCAAAAAGTGTGAAGATTTGGAGGCACTGAATACTCATTTGGGGAGCGGCCTTAAAGTGAAGAAAACTTGGCTGATGATAGTTGTTCAATCAGAAGTATTCTGGTAACAGGCTGAAGATTGTTGAGATTTAGTTATACTTTGAAGCGGTTAAACACTATTTGAGGTTTTTCATTTTTTTCTGTCTCTAGCCGCTCTGAAACCTTAAGTGAGCTGTCCTCTTTCCTGTTTATGTACTTCGCTTTTGTTAAAGCATTTTTATTCAAAAGGGTCACCAACCCGGGAAGATATACCTCTTTGTCATTGGTGAAGCTTGCTTTTTATGTGCAAATTATAGTCACTTGCACCTATGTCTCTAGAGTTCGGGTGCTCCCAAAATTAATTTTTGAAGTTTCCAAATAGCTTTTGCCTTGAGATTCGTGCCCGATCAAGCTAATTTTTGGAATACGTATCAATTATTATTTTGCCAACTATTTGAGGCATGCTTTATGAATCCTATTCTCCATTCAATTTTTTTCTGAGCGCAATAGTTGGTTTGAACTTATTCTTTGCAAAATTTGTATAAATCCCATTCATGTTGCTCTCAATCTACTTAAATTCTTTCCTAACACTTTGACATTAATTGCCCATAATTAATGCATTTTTTACCATTTGGTATGCATGTTAAAACGGCCTAAACTTTAGGATATTGATTCAGTGCTATTGTTAGGATAGCATATAATTAAAAATAGATGATTATAGGATAAATATTAATTATCATTTGTTCTTATTAGATAAGAAAAAGCTCAAAAAATGTTATCATGGATAAACTCAAATTTAAAATTAGAAGTAGATTTTGGATTTGCACCTTCTTATACTTAGTTTCTTGTTTTCGAGCAAAATCCAAGCTAAGGAAGAAAATTGGTTTATTATTGAAGAAGAGAACAAAGAAAAGAATCCCTCTCTTCATTTCCTACGAGAAATAATGGAAAGAGGGAGAGGATGTGAGAAAAAGATTAGAAGAAAGAAGAATTAGTTTTTTGTATGCATGTTTAATTGTCTTGAAGCTGTGCATGATTGTGCTATAGGTAGCATGTGCATTAGTTTGTTTGAACAAAAAAAAAAAAAATGAATGGAATCTAGCATATTTGGTTAGTTTGGTTCAATTTATTTAATGGTGGTTTGGTTTTTGGTTTCAAAATAAATCTTATTTGGATTTTGGTTATTGGGTCGGGTCAGAAAAAAATATTCTATTAAATCAACAACAACAACATCAACATCAAGCCTTTATCCCACTACGTGGGGTCAGCTACATGAATTCTTTTTCTCCATTGTGTCTTGTTAAAGGTCAAAATTCTCATTTAAATCTAATAAAGAAATGTCATTTCTAATATTAAATATAAAAACCAAAATGTTCTATAACTTAATGAAAAAAATAATTATTACTCTAAAGTTTGACTATACATTTAATTTGTTTCGGTTAAATTGGTTTAACAAATTCATTAATCAATCCATCAAACTAACCAATGACACACATCTTTATTATGATTTTAAAATTTGATTGGACTAAAATTGAACCGAATAAATTGTACAATATTGCGGTTATGTTTGATTTGTCTACCTATTGTTTGGTTGATTCAATTGAGTTTATAATTTGTTTGGGTTTAGTTGGTTTAAGAAATATGTTAAGAAATCTATCTAAATCAACCGAATGCACATCCCTAGATACAAGTAAGAGCGACGTGCTATAAGCAAGCGTGATTGCATCTTTTTTGAGGAGCAATTAGGTGAAACTCTTTGGTATGATATAAATCTTATGTGTTTATTATCTCTCATCTCTCTTATGTAATCCTTGTATTTCTACCGGATGTTAAGAGTTTTTGTTTTGTTTTGTTTGAAAGATATGGGGGTTCTCTTTGTGGTGATATTGAGTGTGTATTTATGTATAGGGAAGAGTGGTTTTCTTGTGCCTCATAAATTGTACACATTATGCAATACAAGGCATGCATCAAGGTTATTCTAATGAGTTTTAGAGTATTAAGGTATTTTAAATTATTTCTAGGATTCATTTTTGTTTTAGTGTTTTAATCATATGCACGTGAAAGGCTTTAGTAACGATTGTTAGCTTTAGCATAATATTAAAATTAAAATTTCATTTATCATTTTAAATTCAAGGGTATACAATTCTTAAAAACTAATTTTTAAACCACATGAATTAATTTTCTTTAAAAAGTTAATTGTCTCTATAACAATCACATTTTATTAAAATTAAAAATATTTGTGTGGTTTGAGGGAACATTTTGGAGCTTAATAAATCTAAATTTTAAGAAATATTTCTAATGTATTAATTATAAACCATAACTATAGTAGTATTACTGTTACGTGTGTTATATCATATCACATCATCCTGTACTATTATGCATCATTTGCACGAGGATATTCACATGAAATTTAATGCTAACTATGACACTATTGTGCTTATTGTTTAAAGATGCATGGAATTCTAATATGATGTCTAGATAATAGTTTGTCTAAACATTAAAATTTTTCAAGTATGAATATTTTAAAAAAAAATTACTGTTAAAAATGTGACCTTGTAAAGCTATACAAAAAATTGGGATGAATGTTTACACATTAGAAATTCGAAAAAACTTATTATTAGCCCTTTTTTCATGTTTATGATTTAATTTTACATCCAAGACATTAACCAATGACTTGGACTATTCTCTTTTTTAACTTTTTTCCGCTGTTATTCATATCCAAAATGTCATTTCATATATCCCAAACAGTCACATCGAGCATATTCTTGAAGCTATTAGCCCTTTTTTAACTTTAATCATGTGCACAAATTATGGTTGATATCAAAAGTGTCTTAAGCAGTGGAGAGACAAACTTAAATGTGATAATTCTTGAAAATTTGATAGGAAATTGTAGAGCTATATGGAGATCTTTTGAAAGAAGATTGCCTAAGAAATTCGATGGAGCTAATTTTTTTTTCAAGTCTGGCATAATTGACACAAAGCCTTCCTCTACTTTGTAATGCTTCCTCCCCGTGATTTATGAAATTCTTTGTTTTCCTAGACTCCTCATTTAATGGCTTTCTCTTCATTTTTTTTCAAGTTAGGTAAAATTGACACAAAGCCTTCCTCTGCTATGGAATCTTTTCTCCCTTTTGTTTTTTATGGTTATCAGTTTTCATTGACTCCTCATTCAGCGACTTCCTCTGACTCTTTGTGATTTATGATGTTTTCAATTTGACTTTTTTTGCCAACTTTTCTTTTCAATGGTTTTTTATGAGCTTCTTTGCTTTCTTCTGTGATTTTATATTATTGGTTTCCTCCTTTTATAATTGGATCTTGCACTTGGGAGCAGGATCAATTATCTTATGTGATATTCCTATTCTCTAGGTTTCCTCTCAATATTTGGGTTAGCCTTTTTGCGTTTGCCATTTTTGGGCTTGGTGGTCTTTTTATTATTGACTTTTGCTACTTTAAAGTTGAATCTTCTGTGATTTTTTTTTTACCATAATTAGTGATAAAGAATTCCATTTTTTTTATAATTATAAATAGGTGTTTTAGGTTTATACAATATATGTTCGGTTATATTGTATATTATTCTAGCTGGATGAAGTGTTATTCCTTCCACTTTTGGTAGTCAGATTCTTGATACAGTGAAACTTAGAGGTTTTCAACAGAGTTTATCTTTTTGTATGATTTTGTGATTTGATTCTTTTGATTTTGATGATTTTTTTCCTTGCTCTAAATCTTGTTGTTGGAGAGTTTGATATAATCTGGATTTCAACATGTGTGTGGTTTTCAACTAGTTGCATGTTTTTCGTGGTTATGAAATTATAGGCATTGGTTTAGCAGAGAACAACTAAGTTATATTCTACATTTATTCTTATTGTATTTATCATTTTAATGAAAATTAATGAATAATTATTAAAATTAAATGTTTGTTCGACAAAATTTTGTCTATTAGTTTAGTAATTTTTGCATCCCATCTTATATCCGTATTAAAAAATTTGGACTAAAAAAAATCCTATGATGATATCAGTGGCAGAGCCAAAAATTTTTTAGTGAGAGCACAAATTTATTATTTTAAAAATACTATAAATATTTTTAAGCGTTTTTTATAACTCTAAAATTTTGAAGGGGGCACAAATTGAATATTTTTATAAAAATTATATTTACACGAATAAAATAATATTATATAGAAAGACATTTTAAAGCCCCTTCCTCTAAATTCACTTTTGGATGATTTATTCCTCTGGTCATAGTTTAGACCTTTTCTTGAAGCTTTGGTTTTCACATTTTTTAAGGTTGGGATTGCACAATATAATGTTCTTTATGTTTTGTAGCCTGGACTTACTGGAGGTAGTCAAGACACATATGTGAGACATATGCTTGTTCGAGCTAGGAAGAAGGGGTGGCGTGTTGTTGTCTTTAATAGTCGTGGTTGTGCAAATAGCCCAGTCACAACTCCACAGGTATTTGAGCAATTATTTTTCAAATGTTTTACATTTGTTCTATGTGTTATTCATATATTTTCTTTTATTTTCTAAGCACATAAGCTAATAGGATAAAAGTGAGTTTCTGATAGGAATCCAATCTCCTCACAACAAAAGCAACAATATCGAGATTATGGGCTAATTCTCTTTGAAAAAGGCAGAACAAACTAATATACAGGTTGAACTACTATTTGAGAGATAGATCGGCTCTTCACAAACCTTAGGCACTGCTAGGAACAACTCCAAAGAAAAAAATAGCGAACACAATCACATATTGAAAATTAAATAATCTAATTAGCCCTATATAAGCCTCTATAATTCCCTCCCAAATCTCAATTCAAAACAGCTCCATTTCCTTAAATAAATCTTTTTTAATTCCCTCCCAAATCTCAATTAAAATCAAACACCCTTCCTTAAATAAATCTTTCCTTGTTCCCTCCTAAATCTGAATTCAAATCAGCCCCCCTTTCCCTAAATAAAATTTTCTACCCCCCCACCCCCCCCCCCAA